AGTTACACAGTGAGTGACCCTTACCCTGCTGAATAAACACTGACCCTATACAGTTACACAGTGAGTGACCCTCACCCTGCTGAATAAACACGGACCCTGTACAGTTACACAGTGAGTGACCCTCACCCTGCTGAATAAACACTGACCCTGTACAGTTACACAGTGAGTGACCCTCACCCTGCTGAATAAACACTGACCCTGTACGGTTACACAGTGAGTGACCCTTACCCTGCTGAATAAACACTGACCCTGTACGGTTACACAGTGAGTGACCCTTACCCTGCTGAATAAACACTGACCCTGTACGGTTACACAGTGAGTGACCCTTACCCTGCTGAATAAACACCAACAACAGGCATTACTGGTCCACATGTTCATGACCGATGAGGGACAGGTCTTGGGATCTTCCCATTCCCGTTTGACCAGCATGCCACGTGATGAGATATATGTCTAACTGTCAGGGAGAGCAAAAAATTGTTTCAAAATAGTTTCAACTTTTCCAGGCGCAAGGCCATCGATCCCACAATAAATTTCAGACTGAACCAGCTCCCCACAGATTCCAGGTTCAAATCCATTCTTGTCAAATGGTGAAATTGAAAAGGGCAAAGTTTTCAAACAAAAATGATTAAAGCTCTCCATTATCCATGGGTTCACTCCCTCTGAGTGAAGAAAGTATTCCTCATCTCCAGCCCTAAATGGTCTACACTGTATCCTCAGGCTTTGTCTGCTGGTTCTAGACTCCCCACCCTGGGGAAACCCACCCTGTCCAGCCCTGTTAGAATTTGAGACGATTCAATCAGATAATCATCCTTCTAAATCCTAGTGATTACAGGGCCAGTCTCTCCTAACCGGCCAGTGTCTGCATAATTGCCCAGAGGGCAGTTAAGAGTCAACCACATTGCTGTGGGTCTGGAGTCACATGTAGGCCAGGCTGGATAAGGATGGCACTTTCCTTCCCTAAAGGACATTAGTGATCCAGATAACAAGATGTCGAGGTGGATGAACACAGCAGACCAAGCAGCATCAGAGGAGCAGGAAAGCTGATGTTTTGGGCCTAGACCCTTCTTCAGAAAGGGTTACCACATAGCCTGCCATTACACACCCCTGTTGTTAGTCACTAACAGTCCCCATTAACAACTATTCACCCTCCCAGCCTGATCGTTAGCAACTCCTTTGTCTGTCCAACTGTCTTTCTCTCTCTTTGGGCTCTATCTTATCATTTACTCCCTACCCCACCCACCTCCCTATTTCCTGCATATAAACTGACGTTTTCCCAGCCACCAGCAGTTCTGAGGAAGGGTCACCGGACCCGAAACATTAACTCTGCTTTCTCCTCCACAGATGCTGCCAGACCTGCTGAGCTTTTCCAGCAACTCCTGTTTCTGTTCCAGCTCTATACCTTGTTATCTCGGATTCTCCAGCATCTGCAGTTCCTACTATTAGTGAACCAGATGGTTTTTTTCCTGACAATTGGCAATGGATTCCCGGTCATCGTTAGACTCTTAATTCCAGATTTTCATCCCGCAGTGAGATTTGAAGCTGGATCCACGGGACATTGAGAAGCCCCTTAAAGGCCCCCTTTCTCTGGTCCCTCCCGTCTCCTTATTGCGTCGCACTTCTTAGCCGCTCCTAGGACGAACCCGGGGATGTGCTAGGAGTTACGTAGATGCAAGTTCTTGATGCCCACTGCAGTGCGCTCGTACCTATCCCCTTCTCGGGGTGGGGGGCTGAGGGGTGGATTGTCATGGGTCACCTTGCTTCTGGATTTGCCAGGGACCTTCTCTCTTCCTTCACCATTGCGCTTTGTTCTTTTTTTTTTGTTTGTTTGTTTTTCCTCCCCCCACTCCCTCACAAATTTTCGGAAATGCGTCCTGCAGCTCAGCGATGACCCGCGCCACTCCGGCCTCGCCCTCCACCCACAGTATCGCCGCCTCCACAGACCGTACCCGCTTCCCGAGGGGCACTTCGAGCCGCAGCACCTTCCACGGGGGGCAGCTGAGGGACCGGAGGGGGGTGGCACAGAACGGCGGCTCCCCCACCTCGCCAACCCTCTCCCCCGACGCCACGCCTTTGCCCCAGACCCGAAGTCGAGCCTCGTCCAACCTCTTCTCCAAACTCACCTCAAAGTTGACCAGAAGGTAAGAGGAGGGGGCGCGGTCGAAGCTGTGATGGTGGGTGGAGTGGGGGGTGGGAGCGCAAGGCTTGGGGATGATGGGTTGGTGGGAGTTGAGGTGCTTTTTCTCTCTCTCTTTCTCTTCCCCCCCACTTCTCCTCCCATTGACTCTTACTCTGGCCACCAGCTGCTTTTGCCCTCCATCAACAATATGATGGTCGCGTTTTCATTTTTTTAAAATTCATTCACGGGATGAGGGCGTCACTGGCCGGGCCCAGCATTTATTGTCCCCAGCCCTAATTGACCCAGAGGGCAGTTTAAGTGTCCACCACATCACTGGGTTTCTGGAGTCACGTGGAGGCCCGACTGGGTAAGGAAGGCAGATTGGACTGTGTGGAGTTTGCACATTCTCCCCGTGTCTGCGTGGGTTTCCTCCCACAGTCCAAAGATGTGCAGGTTAGGGTGGATTGGCCGTGCTAAATTACCTATAGTGTCCAGGGATGTGCAGGTTAGGGTGGATTGGCCATGCTAAACTACCCATAGTGCCCAGGGATGTACAGGTTAGAGTGGATTGGCCGTGCTAAATTACCTATAGTGTCCAGGGGTGTGCGGGTTAGGGTGGATTGGCCGTGCTAAATTACCTATAGTGTCCAGGGGTGTGCGGGTTAGGGTGGATTGGCCAGGCTAAATTACCCACAGTGCCCAGGGATGTGCAGGTTAGGGTGGATTGGCTGTGCTAAATTACCCATAGTGCCCAGGGATGTGCAGGTTAGGGTGGATTGGCCATGCTAAATTACCCATAGTGCCCAGGGATGTGCAGGTTAGGGTGGATTGGCCATGCTAAATTACCCATAGTGCCCAGGGATGTGCAGGTTAGGGTGGATTGGCTGTGCTAAATTACCCATAGTGCCCAGGGATGTGCAGGTTAGGGTGGGCTATAGGGAATGAGTCTGGGTGGGATGCTCTGAGGGTCGGTGTGGAGTTGTTGGGCTGAAGGGCCTGTTACCACACTGTAGGGATTCTATGATTTCACCCCTTCAAAGGGCAATAGAGGGCTTTTGAGGCCAGTGGGCACCACAGGGGCTCAGTGCATCATTTCCCCAGAGAATGTTATTTTGACATTAGTAAATTTCCATTTCACCCGATTACAAATTTCAGCTCAATGTTAGTTTGTATTTCAGTGTCAATGACGCATCAGTAACTACTGAACCATTTTTGATCATTTCCGTTCTGAACAGCCACAGTCCAACCAAGTGTTAACCAATTCAGAACCTGGCTTTGGCCAAAGATGTGGAGAAGGGTTACTATGGCAAAGAAAAATAAAATTAATTTGTCTCAGTCTCATACCAGCGGGTATGAGGTAAGGCCAGCTTTCACCACCCTGAGCTTAATTGCCCTTGAGCTGTGTGGCTCGCTCGGCCTTTTGGTGGGTGGGGTGGGGGCGTAGGTGGTAACTCAGTCTGGAGTCACGTGGAGGCCAGACCGAGTAAGGACAGCAGATTTACTTCACTGAGTGGTATTAGTGAGCCGGGTGGTTTTCTCTGACAATCATCGATCATTGCCCTGGCTACTGTAGGAACAGGAGGAGGCCATTCGATGGTGCGGGACTGTCCAAAGGAAATATCAGTCAGGAAATGGGCGACAACGAATCAAAACGAGAGCCGGGACGGGCAGGCTATCTCAAACGGCCTCCTGTAAGCTTCGGCGTGACGTTCTTGTGACGCAGTGGTAGCGCCCCTACCTCTGATCCAGGAAACCCAGATTATGTAATAAACAGGTTCACTAGAGAATTACCTAAGCTTCTGTTTGCGTGTGTGTGTGAGAGAGGGAGAGAGAGAGAGACCCGGGAGTGGGTATGGTAGATATTTCAATGAAAATTTACATTGCAGTTCTGTGTTTTCTGGAGATGTGTTTCTGAGCTGAACCATTGCAAAGCACCCAGTGTGTTCCTTGATTTTTTCTTTGGTGTGTGTGTGGGGGGAATGAACCAGAACTTCTCGATCTCGTTTGCTTCCGCTTCCTGCTGTCTAACTCTTGCCTCTTGTCTTTCCTTTCCTAGGGTCACTATTGACCCATCAAAACGGCAGAGTGCCAACAAAAGTGTACCAGGGAACCTTCTCCCACAGGGACCCAAGAGTGTTAGTAAGTCTTCCTCCATCGACCTCTCGTCCAGTGGCCAACTCCAGAGGAGGTGACGGGGACACGTAGGGGAACGGTCACCTGGGCAGCACTTTGGGGAGGTTGTGTAGACAAGGTTGGGGGTGGGTGGGTGGGGAGACGGGTGGGAGGGCAGGCTGAAGGGCGGGGGGGGGGGTTGAGGGGGGGGGGGGGGGAAGGAAGAGATGGCGTCACCCAGGACTGTGGCAGTTTCCCTAGGCCACCTCATTGCCGGGGAGCTCAGTCCAAAACCCGCTGTGTGTTGTAGGGTCAGGTGTCACCTCGCGGTTATCTCTAGGATGTCCGATGGTGGTGGGGGGCGGTGGGAAATGGGGGGATGTGGGAAGGAGCTGGCTACAATTGGAATCTTGCCACAGAGCGCCAAACCGCTCCATTGGCTAGAGACGCAGGTGGCTCACTTGGAGAGGAAAGGGGCTCAGACGGTCTCTGGAGAGGGAGGTGCATCGAGCGGCTAGGTGTAGGCAGGGTTAAGGGTCAAAGGACAGAAGCTTGACCTTTGCATCTAAACCCTAAACAGGGCGAGGCAGAGTGTGCAGACTCTGTACTGTAAATGGGAACAGCCTCTCTGTTCTACTCCCTTGTACTTATGAGGGGGGGATCTGATTGAAACTTACAGGATACTGAGAGGCCTGGGTGGGGCGGACATGGAGAAGATGTTTCCACGAGTAGGAGAGACCAGGATCAAAAGGCAAAGAGGAAAGGGATGACCCTTTAGAATTGAGATGAGGAGGAATTTCTTCAGCCAGAGGGTGGTGAATCTGTAGAATTCATACCCGCTGAAGGCTGTGGAAGCTAAGTTATTGAGTGTCTTTAAGACAGAGATAGGTTTCTGATTAATAAGGGGATCAAAGGTAACGAGGAGAAGGCAGGAGAATGGAGTTGAGAAACATGTCAGCCACGATCGAATGGCAGAGCAGATGCGACGGTCCGAATGGCCTAATTCTGCTCTTCTATTTTATGGACTTCACCTCCCCGCTCCTGGATTGGCCGACAGGTTCCATAAAAGATTTATCGGTCGCAGACTTTTCTTCATATCCTGGGGCTGGCGAGTGTTCAGAAAAATAATCTCAACAGGAAAGATGTGGAAGCGTTGGAAAAGGTGCAGAGGAGATTTACCAGGATGTTGCCTGGAATGGAGGGAAGGTCTTATGAGGAAAGGTTGAGAGAGCTAGGGCTTTTCTCTTTAAAACGTCGAAGGATGAGAGGTGAGTTGGTAGAGGTGTACAAATTGATCAGAGGTATAGATAGAGTGGACAGCCAGAGACGTTTTCCTAGGGTGGATGTAGCTATTACGAGGGGGCGTAGTTTTAAAGTGAGTGGAGATAGATATAGGGGAGATGTCAGAGGTAGGTTTTTTACTCAGAGAGTGGTAGGGGCGTGGAATGCATTGCCGGAGAGGGTAGTGGAGTCGGCCTCATTAGGGGCATTTAAACGGCTATTAGATAGGCATATGGATGATAGTATAAGGTAGGGGTGGGGGTTAGATAGACCTTAGGGATTAGGGTAAAAGTTTGGCACAACATTGTGGGCTGAAGGGCCTGTACTGTGCTGTACTGTTCTATGTTCTATGTGCTAACTCCCAGAGTGTCCCTGGCAATCCTGATGGGAGTTAGCAGTAAGGACTGAGGAATGGGAGGGGAGGGAGTGGGGTAAGGTCTGAGACCGGGTGGTTCCCTTGTTCCTGGGGGTCTCTCAGGAGGGTAGGGTTAAAGGAAAACAGGGGCAGCCTTCCCTGTTTCCCCTCCCTGTCCCCTCCCCCATCTTCTGGATGCCACTGCTTCCCTTCTCTTCCCTCCTTTCTCTATCCTCCTCGCATCTCATTATGGCTGATAAGCTCCTGACCAGCTCGCTCTGCGACACCCTCTGCTCCTGTGTCAGTTCATCTCTTGTGTTTCAGGCTGTGCAATTGGCCCATAGTGGGCACTGAACATTCCCTCAAGGAACGTGGGCACCACCAGCATTTACTGCCCCGTCTCTAGTTGCCCCCTTGAGAAGATGGGGGTAAGCTGCCTTCTTGAACCGTTGCAGTCCTCCTCCTGTGGGTTGACCCGCAATGCCCCTTAGGGAGGGAATTCCAGGATTTTGACCCAGTGACAGTGAAGAAATGGCGATATATTTCCAAGTCAGGATGGTGAGGGGCTCGGAGGGGAACTTGCAGGGGGGTGGCGTTCCCATGTATCTGCTGCCCCTTGTCCTTCTAGATGGAAGTGGTCGTGGGTTTGGAAGGTGCTGTCTGTGGGGGAGGGAGTGGGATGTTTGTGGATGTGGTGCCAATCGAGCGGCTGCTTTGTCCTGGATGGTGTCGAGCTTCTTGAGTGTTGTTGGAGCTGCCCCCATCCAGGGGCAACTGGGGAGTATTCCCTCACACTCCTGACTTGTGCCTTGTAGATGGTGGGACAGGCTTTGGGGGGAGTCAGGAGTTGAGTTACTCGCTGCAGAGGTTTTGCATTTGTATAGCATCTTTCAAAGCCTCCAGATTCTCCAAAGGGCTATACAGGTGGGTGAATCACTCATTTTGAAGTGTGGTCAGTGTTGGAGCCTAGAGACCAGTTGATGTACAGCAAGATCCCGCAAACAGCCACCAGGTAAGTGCCCCCACCACCCCCAAACCAATCGTTGGGTCTTAGTTGCGAGGCAGCGAGAGACAAAACACAAACTAAATACCACAGCGGCTCCAAACCTGAAATCGCAGCGGTGGGTTCCAGAAGCATGTCAGCAGGCTGGGCAGTGCCTGTGGAGAGAGAAAACAGGGCTCACGTTTTCAGACCAATCGGATTGAAGCTTCTGCCTTTTGTCACCCCGTTGAGGCTGGCGTGCCTGGGTACCGGTGGCAGTGTAGCATCCCAGAGGGTGGGCACTGGAGACTGCCCCCTGAACCCTGTAACCCCCACATTCCAACCCTACACCCCTCCCCCCACCAAAGCTGTGGAGGATTTCTGTCGTGCACTCCATCAGGACACGTGCAAGAATATCAAATCTGAAAGGGAACAACAATTTACAGCACAGAATACCGGGCGCTGATTGGTTGGCAGGTGGGCAGTGGTTACAAGTTGACTCTTCGACCAATCATGTGTTATAAATTGTTGCTCCTTTTGAGCTTTGGCATTCTTGCAATGCTGTCCTGATGGGGGCAATAGAGGAAGCTCCGACAGCCTTCACCCTGATGTCACAGGGATGCTGAAGGGCGCAGGAAAATTATAATATCTGAAAGAGGGGAAGGAGGGCACAACCACTTGGCACACAGCATGATCCCACAAGGCGCAACCCGAAATATTGGGCAGGTCCCCCTCGGAAGAGTTCCTCCCTTGCTGTTGAATGTACCACCTGCAGCACCTTTAACATCTGCTCAAGAGGGCATGGGTTGGTGTGCCCATCTTTGAAGGACTCCTCTGAAAGATGGCACCCGTGGGGCTCCCTTGGTACCGCACTGGCCTAGACTGTGTGGCGTATCCTCTGAACTGAGCCCACGGCCTTCTGACTCAGTGGCATATGTGTGAGGCCCGCTCAGCCCCTGAGGAGCAGGAGGACAGGTTGGGGGCTTCCGGGAGGTGGGGAGGGATGTGTCCACCGGGCAAAGGGTGACGGCTCCCGTTGTCGACAAGTTCGGGCCGCCATTCCTGCCCAATGGGAGAGGCTGAAACAAATGGCACAGTCACGAGGAAAATGAGGGTTCGCGTGGAAGGGTGGGGAGGAACTGAAGGAAAAGGTAAATGAGCAGGGGGGAGGAACATCAATCCCAGCATGGATACGACGGGCAGAATGGTATGCCTCAGCGCTGTAGACATTCGGTGAGGCCCCTGTTGTGTAGCCGGTGGAATCCAATGACCTGGTGTTAGCGCTGGGACGGTTGTGCACTCCTGTCCCCGTGCTGCTTACCGTGGTTACTAATTTCCGATTGTCTCTTTTTCTCGTTGAGGGTCGCAGACGAACCTGAGAGAAACTGGAGATCTGAGGTCACAAGGTGAGAAGTGGACGGCCAGGAGGGACGGTCACTTTTATCGTCTGGGTGTGTTCTCGGGGAATGTGTCACTGAGAGGGTTTAGCCAAAGGGCCAGAGGGAGCGTCTTTCACTGATTCCACACTGATGGGGACAGTGTAGAGGAAGCTTTACCCTGTATCTAATCCCGTGCTGTCCCTGTCCTGGGGTGTT